TACGGACGTCCTACGCTCAGCGCCGAAAAAGAATCGCTGTTTTCGAGAAAGGACTTTAGCTTGTTCGGACAGGAAAGATCAAACTTGGAAGTGGCCAATGCTGTTATAAAGTCTAGGCTGTATTTGTTTGAGACAAACTCAATGTCCTTGGTATATTCTAGCAACCAAAATAAATCGCTATTTCTATACACGTCGGACACCTCCTTGATGTAGGTTACGCTCGCGCACAATCGAAGATAGGGGCAGCGAGGGTTGTACTTGGCGTGTTCCTCGACTGGGTCGTCGTAGTCGGCTTCCCACGAAAGCAACCGAAGTCCGCAACAAAAGCATTCCACGGTCCGATCGGTCAGGTAATAAAATCCCGCAGATGCCATGTAATCCACGTCAAAAACGTCTTCTTCTTTCGGCCGAGCGTCGAAGGAGGCGAACCTCGCAGTGTAAGTCTGAAACTCGGGCCTAAAGGCAAGCGCTCGTTCGGTCACCACCGCCGAGACGTCTGGACTCAGCGTGCGTAGCGGTGCGTCACAGTCGGATTCGTGCAGTCCTTGGGGAAGTGTTTCGTCCGAGGCCACGATAGTAGAGAGTTGAGTCTTTTGCTGGCACATCGAGCAGCTGAGAATCCGCTTCTCCGGATCGTAGGCGAGTCCTGCCATGGCAAAGTCCTTGGGTGTGGGGGTACTGTTGCGCAAAGGCCACGTCGCAAAAGTTTTAAAGTCGGACATCACCTTGGCCACATTCGGGTCGTGGTCGAACAGTCTCCAGTAGAAAGACATGTTCTTAAGCAAAGTAGACTCTAGAAATAAAGTCGATTTTGAGTCTACGGGCCTTGCAATGTTTGAATAATATGGTGCAGTCGAAACACGACACGCAGTGTCCGCACGGCAAGTAGGCAATGTTAGCCGGAGCCTTCATGCATACGATGCACCTCTTAGTTGATTCGTCTCGTGACTTTATAGCGGAATAGTGCGTATCACAGATCGCGCTATCTATCACAAAGTTACCCCACCTACCGATAGCCTTGTGATCGAACGAAGGAAGGGCGTTCACTGGCTCAAACAGAGTGTGACTGCCCAACGGAGTCGCCTTGCTGCTCCGAATGGCACTCACCATCGCCGATACGTTCAAGGGATGCGTCAGGTTGGCCGTGTACAGAGTACTCATAGTCCTGTTGCGGAACTTTGGGTCCTTGACGAGATCGTCGATCTCGGGAAAGTGAGACGCCCAGTACATCTCGCTCCTGTAAAACTTTTCGACTGCATCGTGCACGTAGTAATAGGTCTTGTTCACTCGTAGAAACACGCAATTGGGGGACCTGCGGGCGTGTAGCAGCCACGGATCGTCTTCTTCGCAGTCGAGGATCGAAAATACTTGCACCCCGCAGTAGAAACAAACGAATATGCGGGTCACTATCTGTTCGCGGGAGAGGTAGCCCTGCTCGTCGTCGTGCGAGCAGAAAAAGCCGGCCTTGGCGAACGCAGGGCCTCGAACATCGTGAAAGGTCTTGGCTCGAATCTTCTCGTCGACGTATCTCTTGTAGACCGGGTGAGAGTAGCTCGGCAAGACGGACACGACCCTTGCTACGTTCAGCCGCGGGTCCCTGTACTGCTCGAGAAACTTGCACGGCATTCGGCGGTGAAGGTTCATCGGGTGAAACGTGAGCGTCTCCCAGTCCTGTTCGGCGACTTGAAATTTGCAGTGCCGACAGTAGATGTGTTTCCGGTCAGCGCAATATTCTAGGCCGGCATAGGCAAAGTCTCGAGGCGTGGCTCTGGTGCGAAGTCGCCATTCGGCGAACGTCTTGAAGCGACGCACGACTTCCTTGCTTATGGGATCCGTAACGAGGTGCGCCATAGCGACGATAATGAGAGGAGCCCTCTACTCGGTGCGCAATATATATTCTCTCCATATCTAGGTTGACCTCGACTGGGAGCGGAGTCGACCTCCCATAGGCGGTAGCAATTTTGTTTATTATAAAAATGTCTGTCGCAGAAAATTTTTAGACCTGTTGAAAAAGGGACGATGTCAACACTCGGTGAATCACGAAGACGCCACCGATATTTTATTACCCGTATTCCGGCAGCGGGGAAATCAAAACGTGTCTTACAGGAGAGATGGCGATAAATACGTGCCCACGCTCCCGAACGACACGTCGACCTTACTCGGCTACTCGTCCAAGAAACTCATGCAGCACATTACCAAGGCGCGCACGACGCTCCTGACCAACGGAGATGTGGAACCGGTTGCAGATATGCTCTTTCGCGTTTTCGAGCTCGGTAGTAACATACTGATGACGGTCGACATGGATCAGATGGCCATCCAAACGCTCCTGAATGACAATACAGTATTTCACTGCGTAATGGGAATCGAATACGTACGAAACAGTCTCAACATACTTAGGAAAACCTCTTCCTCGTCGACCACTCAGCGCGTCATCAGGGATCTGAAGCCGTACGTGGACGCGTACGCTACTGCCATTCTGCGCCTGCTACTCCTCTACATCGAAGAGATATTTTCCCATGCGCGCGAGGCGACTCGCGGTATGGCGGTGGGCGCAAGGACGGCAGCCAAGATTACGGCGGTCATGCTAGTATCCCTGTGCAACTACGCGGCGGTGCGCGTAAAGTGCAACCCCATCTTTCAGTTTGAGAGCGCCATGGGCCACAACTGGCTCGACGTGGCCAACGGTCTCAGCCTCGTGCACAGGATCACGCAGCCACACACCGTCAACGAAAACATTGTCGGGGCCATTCGCGTAAAGTTTTCGCAAAACAACAAGCCACAGGACGTCATCAACCTCCTGGTCGAAGAGAGCAACAGGTTGTACACGAGTAACGTCGAGAACGGAGTGTACCGCTGCGACACCGACTACATGACGCTCCGGACCGTCATGCCGGCCGAGCGGGTCACGGACGACGTCAACATCATCGATCCGGCCATCTCTACGACGCTGCGTGACCACAACGAGCTCATCATGAAGAGTTCCGACACGATCCCCGTGCCGCGTACCAACCACTACGTGCTAGCCCTGCAGAAGGAGAAGGCGCCGGCCACCGAGGTGTCGGTCCTTAACATCGCCTCCATCATAGAACAGTGCATGAGCAACGGGCGCGTGGACTCTCGCTTCGTCGAAGTGCACAAACAGTCGGACCAGGGCACGCAGGAGCTCAACAAATTTTACAGCCAGGCCTGTTGCGTCTCGCCCCGTAACCTCGGTCTGTTTCTACAGTGCCTAAACTTTGAGATGATGGACTCGGACATGTTTGGGGCCACCTTACAGTGCCTCAAGATGACCAAAGGCATACCCACTCCGCGCCAGGAAGAAATTGCCACCTACTCAAACACGGCGCTATTTCGGATGGCCACCAACCTGTTTTATCACACGCGTTTCTGCAGGAGCTACCGCGGCGAAAACACCTACCTGTACGACTCGCGCTTCTTTAACGACTTTCTACTCTGGGTCCAGTCGCCCAACTGTCTGGAACACCACATCTCGCCTAGCGTGTCGTCGTCCATCATCTCGTGGTGCACGTCCATGTCTACTGCCATGCACACTACGCGCGACGCCAACGGAGCGAAGTGCGCCATGGCGGCCATATCCACGTGCGAGGTGGACCAACGCGTACTAGCCGACTTTTTGAACATGTTCATCAAGCTCTTTATCGAGGACGAGACCGAGATTAGCGTCATCAACAAGAAATTTCTCGAGAAGGAACTACTCGAGGCTTTTGCCTCCGTGTCTAATTGCTACAACCTGTTTAGGGGGCAGTTTGTTTCGGCGACGGCCTTGCGCCTCTTCCTAGCCCGTTGTAGGTGGTCCGTGGCCGACGACGTGGAAGTCATCGTTCCGGTCGAAACAAAGTTTCTCAACAGACTGATATGCGACAGCGACGACCTGTTGTCCAACTCGATGCGAGACAAGCTCCGTAAAACCATGGAAGACGTCTCCACGATGATGGCGCCGCTACTCTCCAATCCATCCACGTCCGCGCCTCACAGCAAGGACGACGACAGCAACGCGCCCATATGCATTTGAAATAAAAAACCGCCAACGCCCCCATATACATTAACAAAAAGGTTCGGTGACTGATTTGAACGATCGAGGGAGTAAAATGTTGAAACAGGTCACGTTCGTCGATATCTTTTCGCAACAAAAAATGAGGACCCTGCGAGACTATCTCCATTGCGAACTGGACCTTTCGGTATCGATACCCTATAAAATCTGGATCGCTATCGCAAATTTCTTTATTCAAAACAACGTCCCATCGGTCGTAGAGGGAGCAGAGTGTTGTCAGAAAGACAGCTCGTCGTCCCACTATCTACTCGTCTTTTCATACAGGGACAAGGACGCCAACCGAGTGGTGGTGGACTGCATAAACTTCATCAACGTGCTGCGCGATCTCAAGGTGCACGACGTGATATGCACCAAGCACTACGTCTACCTCTACGTCCGTCACTCGTCGGCGCATCACAACGTGCATGCAATTCTACCCTTTCTCCACCACGTACTGCAAAGCTATGTAAACGACAAGACGACCACTTTGCCACTCGATTACACTTTCGATCCCCTGGAAGAACAAGAATCCTTCTTCGACGTGATTCCAGTCACGTACCACGGCACCTACGAGGTGACCACCTCTCTACCGGCGCTCGTGGCCAAAATCAAACCCAAGGAAGACGGACAGTATGTGTCAGATCACCTTTATTGCGAGAAGCATTGGATGTGTCTACACAATCTGGTCGTCTTGAGGCTCGTCGACTGTTTCTACTACATCACTATACAGAAATTGCAGATATTAAAAGATGTTACAAAGTCAAACATTACGTCCACCAACGACTATGGCATTTACAAAGTGTCGTATTACAAGAAGTGACTCGCTTTCGCTTGTGTTTGTCTGCTTTGCCTAAAATAAACGCTTACGCTAGCTTGCACGCTGCTATACATCTGTGTCTCTATGTGTGTGCGTCTGTGTGTGTGTGTGTCCAAACAAACGTTCTTTTATTCACAACATGTCGTTGTAAATGGCGTCGAAACTAGGAAATCGAAGGTTGCTCAGTCGCCGCTTGTTCTTCTTATAGGCCCGTCTGATGAGGCTAGTGGTGAACGTGCGAGACCAGTCGCTGCTCTGTCTAAAGATGCACAAGACGCGTCGTAGATCCATCGTCTTGATGCAGGGACACAGACAGCGGGTCTCGTACCACTTGTAGACGGCAGCAAGGGCTTCCACGTCCGACCAATTGTCGTAGTCGTCATCAAACTCCATAGCACCCATCATGTAGAGCGCCGAAAGCGCCTTGATGGCGCTGGAAACCGCAAGGTGTTCGCCGCTAGATTCGATAACGTAAGCTCGTATGTCCACCGCAGATTCCAACGCGTCGCTAGCCTTTAGGGCCCTTATGACGCTCGCAACGTCGGCGAGACTCACGCGGCACGCCTTGTTCTGCCCCATGGTCGTGATCGGTCGCGTGACGAAAGCGTTTGTTGTCGCGTCCCTCTCTACCACGCGGTCTTCGTACACAAACTCTACGGGCTTTACGTACCACGCTAGCCGGTCCTGCTGCGTGGTGTAGAGCGCGGTGTACTGAAGCAGCTTCAGGTATTTCGTGACAATCTCCTCTACTTTCTGCCGACGCTCGTTCGCCTTGGGCCAGTCCTTGGACATAGCGGCCGCTCGCCTCCGCGTAGTGGACCCTTCCATAGGTGCCGCGGCATCGACCGCCGCCAGTAAAATGTCAAAGAAGCTAGTCTCCTTCGTTGCGGCGTTCATCATTGCGCGAAACAGGTCCACCTTCTTGCCGTCCACCTTTTTAGATGAGCTTATCATAAACGGGAGCATCTCGTAGCCGCCGTACAGCAAGATTGGCACCACAAACGACAGCGGGTGAAGATCGGAACTACTGACGCGTACAGCGCGAGTAAAGAAATCGTCCTTGATGTGGTAGTAACCCGCCTGACGACTGGGAAGAGACTTGTCCAGCAGAGACACGGCGTGTTGCACGCCGCCAAACTCGAACCTGTGTTCGTCCTGTCGCTTCTTACTCTCGCTGTACTGGCGGGCCGAATACACGTAGACGTCTCGCGAGGGTATCTTTTCCACGACCGCAGCTACCCCGAGGAGAATGTCCGAATCGTCGGTGACAACGACGGACACGTCCCAGCGCTCGTCGTTTGGCGGCGGACACATTAAAGAGTCCACGACCTTGACGTCGCCTTCCCCCACGTAGAACGGCGGCAGGATCGTAAAGGACGAGAGTTGGTACGCTGCAGCCGACTCGTTCGAGTAGCCGTCAATCACCTCTTTGGCGTAGAGTGGGTTCTCGAGAAGCGTGGCATATTCCCTGACGTGCTGCATCACGTCCGAGGCCGCGGTCAATCGGCAGATTGTGGCCATGGCGTCTTTGCCGTAGCGTGCCAAGTTTTTGAGCCTTCCGTTCAGGACAGACTGCAGTCTCGAATTTTCGATGGTCCGAACTCGCTTGGTGTCCTCGCCAGACGAGTTTTTGATGACGTTGGCCAGCTCTCTACTGCGACGCTTGTACTGCTCGGGCCACTTTACCGTCGGCGACATTCCGTCAAACACCACCACCACGTCAACTTCCACACGCCTGTTTAGGGACAGCCCCTTGACGACCCTCTTGACCGTCCTAGATATGCAATGAAACACCGTCGTGAAGAAGGCGTCGTATCGGATGCAGCGTTCGCCCGGTCTCGCCTCGTACTCCTTGTCCCAGTCCAAATCTCGAAGAACAAACGCGTCGTCTTCGATATAGTCTTCGACGTAATCGTCAACCAGATCTCCGTTGGTCTCGCCAACGTAGTGTTTGATAATCTCGAGGTTCAAGGCTTCCCACGCTCGCTCTCGTTCCTCTCGGTCGGCGATCGCTCGTGCGGCATCGATCTTGTCCGCAAACGTCTTGAGATGGTGGTCCGTCAGCGAGTGCTTGCAGTGGTGTAGAAAAATGTTACCGTCGACGACGACTTGAATGCGCGCCGACTCTCCGATCACGAACGAGGACGTCACGCTCTCATAGTCGAAGTGACGCGCAGACGGCGTAGGCGAAAAATACGTCCGCAAAACGAGGTTCGTGGCCGTCTCGACGTTACTGCCGGGGTCGTCCAAGAGCTGTAACTGAGACTCGAGTAACGGTGCCAGTTCCTCCTCGACGGCGCGGTTGCAAACTGCGTTGAGTGTATTCCAAAGATTTCGGATACCCATGGTGTCAATACGTTTATTGTGTGTGTAGAAGGGCGACGCTTAAGTACTCTCATCACACAAGGTCACGCCAAATAATGGAGGTTGTGTTTTTTTTTTATTGGACGAGAAAGTGATACAGTATGCGTAATCCCTCTACCTGGGTGAAGGGCATCGGGTGACCTCCACTCGAGTGGGTAAAGTAACGCCCGCTCCCCTTGTTTAGATAGAGGAAGGGCTCTTGTAAAATGAACTTGAGGGGACAGAAGCGCTTGTTTGTTTCGGGATCGAGATGAGTGGAGAGCACAATCGAGTTGTCAAAGCCAGGTAGTTCGAGGGTGCTGCCTGTGGGTACGTGCGTGTATGCCGTTTTGCTCGGCACAAAGCTGACGATCGGCTCGTTGGTTATGTTGTTGATCAGAGACGGAATCGCGGCAAGACCCCTGTTTATTCTCTCTTCCCAGTCGCTGTGTTGGAAGAGGACGTTGTCCACGGTGCGCAGCACGTCTAGTAGCCGAATCTTTTTCGTTGCCGTCATGGCGTTGGCAATCACGCTCGGAATTCCTATCGTCTCGCACAGTCGGGGTAGTATGGTCTTGACGGTCGACTCGACGCTCTCGACAATTTTCTCCACCACGTCCTCTTGCAGGCCGGAAGCCTTGAGGCAACCCACGCCGCCACTCGCGATGCCGCCGCCGCGCTTCTTTCTCACGGTTCCGTCCAGGTAGACCATGACGGACGACGTCTTGACGTTGTTGATGTCGTTGACCACGTCGGAGATGGTGGGTTGCCGCACGCCCAGAAGGACCTCCCTCTTCTTTAGCGAACGGAGCTCGGCCGTGGCCACGCCGCGCGGAACGTAGAGGCACGAGTCGTAGGCAAACTTGTACGCGTTGCGGATGGCGGCGGCCGTAAACAGGTAGTCTCCGTTGTAGGCAGAACTAAATAACTCCAGGTTGTACATGGCGCGCACGCCCAGGGCTACGGGCTCTTCGCCGACGCCACCCGTTCCGCCAAAGGGCAGATTCGTGACTGTGCTTGCCAGCATTGTTATTGCGTCTGCATTCAACCAGCCCGCCTGATAGGTCTGACTCGAAAAGATTGTCTTCTCGTCGCTCCAGTCGCCTTCCACGTAATCGTTGTACGCCGGAACGTTTTTGAGAAACACGTAGGACCAGAACATGGGGTAGCGTTCCACGAGCTTGGGGTGATTCCTAACCAAATACGTGACGTGATCGTACGGATCAATCACCGATTTGTACTGGTCGTATAGGACGCGCCCGACAAAAGCCAAGTCTGCGCTCTCGTTGGTGTAGGCCGCCCTGCGTGGAATGAGGATCTCGATGGGCAGTACGGATCTCTGGTCCGAGACACAGACGCGGACGTTATCGACGCTAAGGATCCAGGGAAAGGTTCTGCCCAAAACATCGTAAACGTGTTTTCTAAAGAGACGTTCGCTACCGGCTCGATGGTCGCTCGCGGAAGTCACCGCGTTCCGGAGAGTGAGACTGTCGTAAATGTCGGATCGCTTGTTCTTGTCGGTGTTTTTCCAGAAATATGCCAGCATCATGTCGTAGACTATGGTCGCATTAGATGCTACGTTTCTTTGGTCGGGTGTCGTCAGTGGGACGGTGTCTAGTCTGTGGTTCGTACTAGTACTACTACTAGTAGTAGCAGTAGTAGTACTAGTAGTTGCAGTAGTAGTAATAGTGGTCATGGGAGCCGTAGTTGTATGCACAGTCGTATTGAAAGGGGGAGTTGCGGCCGTGGTGGTGCTGTGGGGATTGTTGTAATTGTCGATTCGCGAAGAAGGCAGGAATGCACTCCTAAACATGTCCATTTTTATTTATAGAACGTTCTCGTACAAGTCGTCCGAAAAGTCGCTGTCGTTATTAATGCTGTTTACGAGCTTGTCCCGTTTACTCAATTCCTTTTTCGGTTTCCGTTTTCTTCTTTGGGCAAACAGGACGCGGCACATTGTGAGCGAAAGAACCAGAACGCTAAATGCTAGCAGTATCATAGCCCACAGAAAATAGACTCCGTTTATTTCCGAAGCCTTGAGTATAGTAATTTTAAAGGTCATCTCTTCTTCAAACAAAAAGTATATGGATTGCGATAAGGAATACGTGTCTTGCGTCAACGACGGAGACTGCTCGACTCTATGCACGGGGCAGGCAATATGCGGCAATTACGGAAAAGGAATCAGACGATGCGTACGCAGAGAACATTACGAAACGTACAAGCGGCGCTCGCACGACGATAACATGATTGTCGTGTTTGCAATGAACAGAAATTTGGGTTATTTAGAACCGCGAAACGTACCGGTGGACATGGTAAAGTACGCGCCCGACGCGAGAAGAAGCCCCCACGACGTCGCGTCCAACCGAAGATTGGCGTCGGAAAGCGACGAGCGAGACTCGGTGTGGCTACATATTTACGGACCGACGACGGCGGACGTGACTCCTTACGAGTACAGAGCCAGGCTTCCGAGGCGCCTGCTCAACGGGTTGTTAAAGTGCTCGCTCAACTTTCCAAACTTTGACGTTAAATAAAGACGCCCTTGTTGTATAGCATTCGAAACAGGTCCATGGAAGTGTAGACGAAGCGCTGACCGCCATTCCAGACGACGTCGTAGATTTTCTCCTCGCAGCCGAGAGCTCGCATAAGGCGAGCTCTCGTGCGTAGGGACGTACGCGTCGGCTGTCTTGTCCCGCTTCGAGTGCACGACTTCCAGTTCGCCCGGCGAAAGTAGGACGGTCGTTCCGCGGTTGTCCGGACTGTAATCGTCACTCATCAGGTATAAACTATTATTTAGAGAGTTCCACCGCATACCCACGTTATCCCAAAAAAACGCACTGGTTTTCTTTCGAATATATGTACACAAATACGGGTAGTCCTTTAAATTTCCTCTTCAGTATATTATACGCAGCAGGCAGAGAAGCCAGCAGCCCTACGACATACTCCATAATTGGTTTTTAATTTATATAAAAACATGCCGGTGCGAACGCTTTGCGATGTGGAAGACAAGCGCGTCTCCGGGTTGGACAAAATACTCGACTACATAACGTGCAACGTTGACGGAAGATTTGGCGCTTCGGCTCTCTTTAGCACCGAATGTCTCCAGTTTCTGATTAACGTGCCCATCGCCACGAAATTCGACGGAGATAAGCCCCTCAGTGCCAAGGAGCTCG